AGATAGATTTGCGTTGTGGAACTGTTTACTGGAGAAAGGTGTGCCCGACAAGTTTGTAACTATCCTGAAAGAACTTTACAGTCACACGTCGGGCAAAATCAGGGCTTACGGCACGCAGTCTTCTTCATCTTCTGTGACCAGCGGTGTTCGCCAAGGTTGCCCTATTTCACCTTTCCTCTTCAATTTCGCCATCGAAGATGTTCTCCAAAGAGTATTGGAAGCTATCCAGGACTGCGGTGTTGAGCTCCTCCCTGGAGACAGAGTCGTGGACTTGGACTACGCCGATGATATCGCCTTGCTGGGGGACGACCCACAATCCGTCCAGAGCGCTTTGGACCGCTTGGCGATGGAGGCGTCTAAGTACGGCTTATGTTTCACTCCGGGAAAATGTAAAACGCTGTTCCAAGACTGGCAGGTGCCTGAACCCGCGCTCACCATTGCTGGACATGTTCTGGAGCAAGTCCCTTGCTTTACTTATCTAGTGAGTTGCATCATGGCTGGTGGCAGTGTTGATGATGAAGTTTCACAACGGATTGCACAGGACCGCCTTGCATTCATCAAAATGAGACACCTATGGCGTCGTCGTGATGTCAGTCTTAAGCTCAAGGGCAGGGTGTACAATGCTTCCGTCCGTGCAGTACTCTTGTACGGCTGTGAGACTTGGCCTATTCGCTCGGATGAAATGAAGCGGCTGTCACTCTTCGACAATCGCTATCTACGAAGGATTGCTCGGGTGTGGTGGCAACACCACTTAAGCAAAGCAGAGGTGCGAGACCGCGTGCTTGGGGCGAATAGTGCCTGTCTTCAGGAGGTTATTCTCCGACATCGCATGCGTTGGCTCGGGCACGTTCTGCGCATGCCAGCCCATCGCCTTGAACGTCGAGCGCTATTTGCACTCCCAGGGAGCGAATGGAAAAAGTGCCGCGGGGGACAGCCAGTGACGTGGAGGAGCATGAAGAAGGCAACCTCAAGCTTGGCGGCAGTCGGACCAGTCCGTCTTCCGGGTTGGGGATCACGAGATTCTGTATGGCAGTGGTTGGAACGTATTGGACGTCATGGCCCGCAACAGACATCAGTGGCGTCAATGTTGTTCTGCGATTTTACCATCCCTTTGATGCACACAAAAACTCACAAAACAAAACAAAAATACAAATGGCGTGTGTAAAACCAAAAAAAATTGTTTCCCATATTTTTAAATCGCAGTTCGTGTTCCCATCTTCACATTTTTCTTCTGCCATGGTTCTGATGGCACAATATCTGTTAACAGACTGTGAACATATATATATATATATATATATATATATATATATATGTTGCATTCAAGATGCTTCTTCACCGCAGTTGGGCTAAACCGACTTTCACTTAAACTAGGTCTTTTTAAGCTGGTTGAATTTCATTCCACTTTATTTGGTTTGTTCTGCCTACCTGAATAATCTATTAACAGGCCACGATGCTTACACTAATTGCGCTTCGGTAACTTTGTTGCGTTTGTAGCATTTTTAAGTAACTTGTGGACATTTTTTCCTTATCGCGGACTCGTTGCTAACTAACTTACTTCATATGTTAATGTAGCGAAGAGTTATGCCACCGTATCTGTATGCAATATTGGATTTGTTTTATTTCATCTTGTCGTTTCAGGTGATTGGCTGTTGGTTGATATCCCCGGTGTGGCTACGCTTGATGTGCATGTTAACAAGGTGCCTACCTGTCTATTACCCACTATTTCGTCCATTCTGGGTCCAGGAGACAGTTGGTCGTTGCTGGACGGGACGGGGTGCACGGTCTTTATGGCCGTGCTAGACTCGAAGAGTGGTTCCATGCACTCAGTGTGGAGCGGACTACGGTCCAGCTTCCGCCTTGTGTGCGATTAATTCCCAAATACAACGTGTTTGTGTTTGCCTGTGAAGCAATGTGGGCGGCTTTGTTGATGAAACGTGACTCTCATCCACATGCCTCCCGGTCTTATTCCTTCGAGTTCACACTGGATATGGGGTGTGTGGATGGAGCTGTGGGTGGTGCAGCGCAAGCCACCCATGCTCCCTCTGTAAGCGCAGGTGTCCTGTGGCTGGCCACAGTGACAGGCAAATCCGAAACCGGATGCCGCCAACCATATAACGGTAGCGGCTGTTTCCATTTCTGGTGCACAATGTGACCACCAAGCTTCATGGTCTCACTTCAGGCTGCCACACAGTTTTGCCCTGAGATCTTTGCGAATCTCATTGTATTCGCTTCCATCCGGAATACGTCGGCGAGCATACAAAAATTACGCAGTCCCATAGACCCAATGTCCAGGTTGGCAGTTTGATTTGACACATGTAAACATGCCTGCTGATAGAAACTTTTGACGACTATACACGCAGTGATCTTCGACGGTAGTTAGTGGGCGCTTTCTCAGCCCGGATGCTTGCGTGCTTTGATACGCATTCAGAATACCTGGCTTCGCCAGTTTGCTGGTGTCATTGCACTCAGAGAGACGTTGCGGACGTCCACCAAAACACACACACAGGAGCGTGATCGGAGTCTACGCTGGTGCTCCAAATGGAGCAACAGTTTTGGACACAGCCTCTCCAGTGGTAACTGATCGCGATGTGATCGATTTGCCTCCATTGCTGGTCCGAGGCGGGTGGGCGCCAAGTCACACTTCTGCGAGTGCTGTGTCTAAAGTTAGTGTTCACAAGAAAGAGGCGAGCATCTTTACACAGCTGTAGCAACCGCTCACTGTTGCCATTACAAGAGCTTACATCATGTTGGCCGCCCAGATGAAGCTCAATAGAGGACAATTTTCCTACTTATGTGCTCACCAGCATTCACCACAGTATCCGTACTTTTCCTGTAGCGAAGGAGATCGTTAAGTTGGTGATAAGAATCATCTTTCACCGAAGCAGTGCTGCAGTTTATGGGGGGCTTAGGTCGCTGTGACAAACAGGCACCATTTGTCCCTACGCGACTTCGAAGACTGGAACGAGCCAGCCAGTCTAATGGCTCACATCTGGCTGTTGACTGGGATCCAATCGATCAGGCGACTTCAGCCTGGGGACTCCAAGCAATGCCCACGCCGGCTTGACCGGCATTTGAATCTGCATCATCGCCTGACAAGCGCAACGCGAATGTGCCCCCAGTGTCGTATGTGGGGGATCACAGGGTAAGCACGGAGTCCGAATCTTCCAGGTGGGTTTCCCTATAAACAGCAGTATCGATCGATAGGGTCTCGAGTGTTCTGGTAAGTGCTGCTTGTTGGTCAATCTATAATAAAGTGCGCACGTTGAGGCAGCCAGTCTTAGTGATGATGGAGGACTCCAAAGAGAAACGAATGAACTGACGTTGTCCGCTTGGTTGAACATACTTGTCGACTGGACTGGAGCAACGCCCTGCGATTGTGTGAGTTGAGACTTGAAGATGCGTCTATCAAATCATAGTAAAGGAGGGCCTAGAATTGGGAGTGGGCTGAAAGCAGTGGGGATAAAAGTGAAGTTGGAGCGGGACGATACTGATGAAAAAGCGCAAGTGGGGAATGAGAAAGCGGGAAGGCCCTGCTCGATGCAGCAGAGGGCGCCGTCTATTATCCTCTGTGACGGCCAGACCATCATGAGCTTGTTAGAAAGGAAAGTCATGGTGTTGTATTCTTGGGCTGTATACTGTCAGACTACTCAGGCCTAGACAACAGAACGATTAGGGTTTTCAACCAAGGCCTTTGAGTCAGGAACCCTAGTGCAAGGCAGCGGAGTTTTGGCACTGGACTACAGAGAGCACGTTTTATGGAGTACAGAGCCACCCTCACTCCAACCTAGAGAGCCAGGAGACTGAGTTTGTCTGGCCTCTTACCATTGACCAATTTGGTATGATAAGGTGTATGGTAAGGTGCAAAAAGCACCATCTAGCATAGCTCAATGGATCACTGAGTCACACAGAACATCATACCAACAATCACTATATCAGTTTTCTTCGTCCTGCGGAGATGAAATCATCATCATCATTATACACCTTAGCTGTAGGTGGAAAATACAGCTGCTAAATAAATAAATTGTTTATTCTTGACATTGCGAGACGCATGCGTAGGCTTGATCGTGGTAATACCAAAAAGACCGGCAGTTGTACGGATATATTACAAGTGAAACGGTTGCAAACTGGATTCATGAAAGTGTGTACACATGTAGGTATGTGTGTATTTGGCCATGTTGAAAGAAGTTAATATAACGCTGCATTTGTGATTGTGTTACGTCTGGTTGTAAGTACAAGGTGGGGTCACAAGAACCCTCCGAAGTGGATGACTGATATCCGTGGAGAGAGTAAGCTCATCTTGATGGGCAAGATCCGATGACTTTATTTATTGGCGTATCACATCCGCCTCATCGCAATGCTGTTAAGTAGACGGAACCGTTGGGATCTACTTGAAGCCTGTCACACATAGCCTTCGAAAATTTGGAACAATTCGCATGTGTTGTACGACCGTATTACGCTACGCACATGCGATCACGGCTAACTGCAGGTGTGAGTTGGCGGGTTTGCGCCAATTTGACTAGGGGATTCTTGGCTTGAGACTGACGGTAGCAATTCACTGAGCACCGGTAGGTGCCTTCCCACCGTCAGAGACCATGCGTGACGCTGTTAGAGTGAACTTACTTCTGTTAAAGAGAGTGCGCACATAGCTTCCTTCATTCGCGCCATGCCCTTTACTCTATTAAAATTCATACTACAGAACGCGCTTAACCATGTGCTGGCCAGTGACCGAAAAGACAAGACGTCTGCCTTGTAACCCTGTTGCCGTTTCGAGCCTACATAGGGGACCGAGTGGCCCTCGCAGGCCCTCGCGCGACTGGTTTTGACTGCGTGACAGCGAAGCGTTGCTACAGAATATCGGCATAATGCTGACGCCCTTTTATCTGAACCATATGGTTAAGGTCTTTGGTTATAGCGCTTTTCTCTACTTTTTGTAGATCGTTTGATTTATGACTGCTAAGGTAACTGAGTAATCTAATGAATTTTATTTTATTTTTCATTCAGCTTTTTTTCGCCCTTTTCCTTCATTTCAGCATGTTGCTATATTATTTTCTTGATGGACGAAGCCACTTACGTTACTTTTGGAATTCCGACTTTTGAGAAGCGTCAACAGAAAGATGGATTTTTTAGGCGCTTGATTTCAAGACACAAAAGTATGCGGGGCTCTGTAATCTACTCTTTGTAGTCGTTAAGTCTAACGAACGTGAAGAAAATGAAGAATGCGTGCAACCGAAGGACACTTGCATTACTATTCCTGATTCGGAGTATGTGAGTGCAAAGCTATTTTGTTTGGAATAATCTCTCCGAAGCACCTCAGACTACACTTGTACACTACCGAGGAAACGTCTACTAACTGTGTCCTCTTAAAATGTGATCGTTCGTTTCCGCTCACTACATACTTGACCATCATACCACTCTGTCCACTGTCCATCGTTTTCACAGACGGCATTTCCTCTATCAAGTTTACTAACGCGCATTAACGACCGTTCTTTGACTAAGACACCATCAAGTCCGTGCATAGAGGATTATGTGGCACAGTGAACCTGCCTTAAATATCCGTTGCGTGAAACTAAGCTATTACTTCCCCTTTTGCTTACTGTCTGTCTACTTTCGCTTGCACAGCTACTACTGACACTCGCCATTTACGATCACTGTAACTAACACCAGAAGGTATCAAACCCTGATACGAAGATACGTCTTTGCTCACTTGAAGCTTTGTAGATTCACGTTATTACATATTGTCATGCTTGTTGCTTACGCTTCTGGTACCACATTGTTTATCACTTTGCCTCCACTGGTTACTTCATTCTCATGTAATTTATTGTAGTTGTTCTACTCCGAACGGATCACACATCCACTGTGTAGCATTATGGTCCAAACCAAATTGCATGATGCAACTATTTTGATTCGTTACTTCTCAAACCACCCAATGGTTATTGTCGGTATTCTATGCTTGTTTCATATGCCCTCTACCGTGGCGGGAAAACAGTAGCAGTCCTAGCTTTTGGAGTGTATTTTTCCTTTAACCTAAGTTATCCTGTGCACATGGCGTTTGCAGTGCACACCATTTCGAGCTTCGAACTCCGGAACCGCATCTATTTCGATTGGCTGGCGGCTGTTCTAACAACCTAACTACTATTTTACTGGACATCGAAAACTAGGATGTTACCCAGGTTGTCGTAGGTGGTCAGCTTTACTTCATGTATTTCATTCGTCTTCTCACTAACCTAAGACATCGGGTAACGGATCTCAAAATAGGTCCAATAGGGCTGCATAACTGGCCCCTTTTCCCCTCCCATTTGTGCGTGACATTTGAACCGAAGACTAGAAGTGCAAAATCTCAAGACTATTCTCTATGAATGTCACCTTTCCGTAGGGCTCCGTCACCAGTGCCCATTCTGCTTTCTATGCAATTTCCTCGTTGTAGATTGTTGGTTGCTGGTGTATTTAGCATGGAACATCTCCTGAATTCATGAGGAGTGATAGCGGCATTCTCAACTTGTCATTTCACATAGTTTTTCATCGTACGTTTCTGTGTCAGATTAACCAACAAGCTTTCGTTCTGCTCTAGACTAACTTTGATTGATGCCGCTCTCTAGAACACGCATCTAGCCTGTAGCGTCTCAACGCATAGAGTAACAGATTTTAGCGGTGGTACCTATTTCTTAAATTTCTGTCGTAATGTTCAAGTGATAAAATGAACACTCGGCACCCGAATTTTGAAACGTCAGATGTAGTCTAACCAAAAGCCAACATCAATTACCGCTTGCATGCGGTTTGAATTGGAAATTCGGCAGAAATCAACAGCCGTCGCATGAGGGATTTCAGCTCTTACATTGTTTCGGTGCACGATTTCATGGACTACAGTACGGAAACCGTCAGCTATCGATTCTATATGCTACACTCATACGCTTAACCAAAAGCACGAATATTTGGATATGAGCACTTGATTGTGTCGCTTTACGGGCATCAAACATAACAACAACAACAACAACAACAACAACAACAACAACGGTACATCATCCATTTGAACTGATACTTCGCTGCTTTACAACCATAACCTTCTATGGCCGGTGGCTAAGCAGTCTTCACACTTGACTTGCAGTCATAAAGTCACTGGTTCGAATCCGCGAAGGGACGGGCGTCCTCGCGGTATCCTCAGCCCACGCACGACTGGGGGGTCATGATCAACAGCAGTACATCACCCATTGGAACTGATGCTTCAATGCCATACAACCATGAGGACCTATGAAATAAAGAATAAGGAGAGGGAAAGAAGGGGGACTTACCTGAAAACCTTAATGCTCTAAGCATACATTCAGCGTCAAGGCGCTTGCACATTGTGTAGACAACATACCGTCACAAACAGCTGGCTATCGTGCAAAGATAAGGCGGCATCGGCTAGACAGTTTCCTTGCGGCTTTCACTGCCACGCGCCATAATCAGCCATTACCACGCAGATAACTCAGCACCAAACACACTTTAAACAGACAATCCGATTAGGAGAAGACAGCAGACGCGCCACTGGTGTCGGTTGCGAGCCATGTCCTGTAAAGTCCCGAGCTAAGCACAAGGCGAGCCACCTGGACTCCATCCCGGAATGTGAGACGGACCAACGGCACCCAGTTTGGTCGTCAGTGACTTCATTTTCCGCTGTCAAGTCAACTTCTGTCCACCTCGAGCCTTGCGCCACCCTACATCTGGTAGACTGAACAAGGCCCTCCTAGGTAAGCGGTGACCAGGCATACGTAGCACGTGCCCGAGCCAACGCAACTTATTCATTGTTATCTGTTGTTCTAAGGTGCTAGCATGATTATCACTACCTTGTACTCGCTTACGCACATCATTGTTGCGGACACGCTGGTGTCATCCGACACCAGCAATGCTTTGCAAACAACGATGATCAAAGACTTGAAAGCTCCTCAGATCTTCAAACCGAATGGGCCAAGTCTCACTACCATAGAGCGGAACGGCCCTCACTGGGGCCTTGTATACACGGCCTTTCAGACGGAGGGAAATTCCCTTCTGTCGCCAAAGATGCCGCAGGTTCAAGAAGGCAGCTCTGGCCTTTGCAATGCATGAGCTGACGTCACTTTCTATGCGTCCATCGTTGCTGATGCAGCTGCCAAGATAAGTTCATTGATCAACCAACTCGAGTTCTCCGTTAGCAAGGGTCAAGGGGTCATAAAGTGGCTGGTGGTCCTGCAGCAACACTTTGCACTTTGAAGGTGCGAAGTGTATACCAAATAATGGGACCACTCTAGATAGGCTATTCAGGGTTGATGGCCGTCGCAACATGGTCGAAAAGCAAGACGATGTCCACATAATCAAGATCATTAGTCTTTCACCAGGCAGCACTTCAACGCCTACATCGTGCGATTCCTCAAGGGAACACTCCATGATAGAATCCACGACGAAATTGAACAAAAATGGGGAAATCGGACAACCCTGACAAACTTCACTTGTAGTCGGAAAGCTATCCGATAGGCAACCGTAGACTCTGACGCGGCCTGTAGTGTTCGAGTATAGAGCACGATGGATGTTCACATATTTCGTGGGAACACCTTTCCTCGCAAGTATTTCGAACAGAATCGATCGATCGGCTGAATCGAAAGCACTTTTGTAATCGCGGAACACAGCTATTTTCGGTCTGCAGTATGCGTGGCGCTGCTCTAGCACCTGCCGCATAGTGAATATATGGTCTATACAGCCACGTCCGGGGCGGAAACCGGCCTGCTCTTTCCTAATCCGAGATTCCCGTTCCGCAGTGAGGCGATGAACGATAGTCGAGGCCAATAATTTTGTTGCAACTGGCGTTAGGCTAATACCCCTGTGGTTCGCACAGTCTGTGCGACTGCCCTTCTTGTATATTGCCACTATAATCGATTCGCTCCAATTAGTCAGTACACTCTTCCTTCCAGATACGTTTGAATAGGGAGGTCAGTGCTTTGCAGACGACCTCACCTCCATCCTTAAACGGTGCAGGTGGGAGGGAATCCGGGCCAGCGGCACGAAAACAATTGAGGGCTGTGATCGTGTCTCGGACCTCGGCCTCAGACGGAGGCTCTAAACTAATCGTCCATGGTTCGTCCTGCATCAGCTGAGTAGGAACAGGTCCAGGAGCAGGTTGCCAGCTGAACTGCTCTTCAAAGTGTTCCGCCCAACGAGCCATACGGCGCTCCTTATTGTGTATCAGCGCACCCGCGCTATCTCTGATCGTCTCACTGACGCCTGGTTTCCTGGGACCAATGGTGCGGATTAGCTGGAAGAGTTTGCGGTAATTGTCTACTGCTCCAGCCTCCTCCATTTCTTGAGCCCGACTGGTCCACCAGGCTTCCTTGTCAGCACGTAGGCTCCGCTTTAGGTCACGTCTATTAGCCTGTCTGTTCCCATTGTGTTCAGAGCCAGCCTGGAGATTTCTTCTACATTCCAATAGCACCGACCTCTCGAATATCCATTGACCATGGATAGTGCCAAAAGCAGATGCTCCTGCGTCGTGCATGGCGGCCGAGATCCTATTCCACTGAAGTTCAGTGTCATTAGGACAAGACAGCGAAAGTTCGGTACGCAGTGCGTCTTGATAGGCTTGCCTGACCGAGTGCTGAGACAATTTTTCAGTTGCCAACAGGAGGAGACGCTTGGTGCGCCTTCTGGTAAAGTTCATGGGGAAAGGACAGCGTACCAAGGTATGATCAGAGTCGACACAGGTACTCCAGTACGAGCGGCAATCCATGATGGAACCACACCATTTGTGACTTATGGCAATGTGGTGAATTTGGGTCCATTGCTGGCCAGCTACAAGAGGACGCCAAGTGGCACTTCGGTGCCCACTGTGTCTAAAAGCAGTGCTACTAAGAAACAACTGGTGCTCCGCACAGAGTTGCAGCGGGCGCTCGCCGTTGTCAGTCCGTTCGGAGTTAAGCCCATAATTATCATCCAGCTGAGCTTCTGAATAGCTCAGACGCCCTACTTGTGCGTTTATACCCCCTGCAAGTACTATTATATCTTAACTAGTAGCATTGCGTAGTAGCTTGTTCAGGTCGTGTTAGAATGTGTCCTTGATAGCATTAGTACTACAGTCGGTGGCAGCATAAACGGAAATCACAAACAAGCGGCGTTTTGTACTACTTCTTAAATCAACCTTAGCTGATGTCGTCAGACAGGCTGCACATAAACGACTGTTCACCGGAATCCAATCAACCAACGATGACTCAGCCTTGAAGCTTAAAATGATTCCTACACCAGCTTGACCCGTGAGTGCCGCCTCGGCGTCTCCGGATGCGTGCAACCAATAACGACAAGATAAGCCGGGTACAGTTAATTCAATGATCCCATTAGGGTCACTGATCCTAGTTTCGGACACACAACACACATCAGTATCCAGTGTGTCCAAGCTGCGTGCGCGTGCAGCCTGTTGACCTGTTTGTCTGAGAGTACGAATGTTGAATGTCGCCATGGAAACGGGATAGCATGGTCTTATAAGGGACTTTTGCCGGTAGGCGTCCGATAGGTGCTGTGGGATGGTGGCTGCAGCTGGTTCTACTCAGTGGCATTTCGGTTTCTGTCAATTAAGCTGGGAATTATAGAAGGAAGGTTAGGGTCGGGATGGGAGTAAGGGAAACAGGTGGAAAAGAAAGAAGGAAGGCGCCAGCAATAGCATGTTTTCGCTTATGCGCCCTTCTGTATGCAGCAGATAAGGCGACCCTTGGTAATCTGCGCGACGGCCGATGCAGGATGAAGTTTATGTTCGAAGAAAATGTCATGGTTGTATATGGGCTGAGATACTGCCAGGGCGCCCATACCTAGACAGGAGGACGATTAGGGTCCTCATCCAAAGGCTTTGGCTCAAAAGCCTGTCCGCAAGGCAGCTGGGAGGTGGCAATGATTTACTTTTACAGAAATGGACGCCATCCCATTTCAAACCTCCAACCTGGAGGACCAGGAGACTGAGTTTGTCTGACCTCTCACCATTGACTAACCTGGTAGGAGTATCTCTCAAGGTGCCCGAAGGCATCACGCAGTATAGCTCAATGGGTCAGTGAGGTACGCAAACCGTCGCACTACGTTAAGGTCCAGTCTCGTTGCGACGGTCGACTGGGGGTGGTCGCGCTACAGCGAAGTCCCGTTACGCCGTACAGCTGACACTGGGTGTGTGGGTGGTAACTACGAAACGAGCGATGGGGGACTCACCGGAAAACATTATTGTCCTAAGCAAACATTCAGAGTCAAGTCCTCTACATCTAGTGAATAACATGCCATCACAAACAGCTGGCTATCGTGCAAAGATAAGGCGGCATCGCCTGGACAGTTTCCTTGCGGCTTTCACTGCCCCGCGTCATAATCAGTCATTACCCCGCAGATAACTCTGCATCAAACGTCTACCGGCAGGTTCTTTCTTGGGCCAGTGCTCAGCATACTGATGAGGGCGATCGATTTCTGTTTGTGTACCTCGGCCTCATTCTTAACTTCAAGTGCACTATCCCTCAGCACACCCATCACTTCACTTGGCGTCCACTGACCGCCACGCTTCTCAGGCCGCAAATGAACCCTTTTCACTTTAGTTAGTTGCTCTGCACCATCTATCTTATTGCCCACACACATGGCGCCCACTCTTTTAGCTAAATCTAGGTACTCGACTGAAAGGTTACTCATTTGTGACTTTAATTTACAGTCCATCCAACCTTAATACCAAGCTCATTTGAGTGTATGCTGCTGTCCGCTTAGTGTATTTGTGAGATAGGTGTCGGTTAATGATAAATTCAACCCCTTAGACATAATGTATGGTGCATCATTTGTACCAAGCTTCCAGCAACCAACTATAGGGTGGATTTTCGAATTTTGGTTTGTATTAAGTTATTGTGATAGATGGCTCGTTGCTTTTCTTGTGGTTCTGAGCATTACGAACCTTTGGTACAATCACGAACGCATGTAGATGACAAATACTTAATTGTTGGAGGGAGAACTGTGCAAAGTTCTACCACACGGTTGAACTTTTACACCGCCGGTTATCATTTGCGAATGCCTGCTGGTGACAGTGGTTCGGCTCGATTATCTAGGTTGTTGTCTTAACTATGTTGTTCAGGGTGCTGAGGAGCTTATTGCACAGTATGGTTTTTCAAAGCCCCTACCGTTTGTGAGAAAGACGTTTTGTATGTTTCACCTTAGTTGTAAAATGTGCAACACAAAGGAGTGTTCTGGACATATCGTTACGTTGTTTGACGGAAGTGCTCGGTTAGGATTTTACATGTGGTGGTGTCCGGATTGATCATCCTAACGATTGAATACCATGTCCTATCTCACCTTGATTTCAGTGACAGTTTTCTGTGTGACCCCTTAATTGTTACTATTTACACCCCAACGAGAACTTTAAGGCATTTCTTTTACTTCTTTCCATTGATTTCTTGATGAGCGTTTGCTTTTTTATTCTAGCACCATTATATTTCCAGTCCATCAAATCTTGATAACCTAGCGCATCGTACATTGAGTATCCACCGTGTGTCTGGATTGCGACATGCTATTTCATTTGAGACCACAGTTTTCTTTGAAGCGAATTTCTTCCATTTCGATCACTTGGATCGCATTCGAAGCTCTCCACTAATGCGTCGTACTTTACTTCTCTTATCTCTTGATTTATCAAGACGGATCATATAAGACCATATTATCCTCTACTATTTCCACAACTTGATCCTCATTAGCGGTGCTTAACTCGGGAAACCTTTCCCTTTATTGGACTCCTAGCTGATTGTTCCGATTGACCCTATAGCTCCTCCAGTTTTCTTAGTCATAGGTATCACTACACACTTGGGTTGGTCAGGTAACAACGTACTTATTGAAACCTTTGACGTCTTCCAGTAGCTTGCATTCGCATATCACTTATTCGTTTAAATCCACTCTCACGAGTGCATCAGTTCGCTCATTTGACTACTAACGGTGCTACTCACTATGTTTCATATACGTCTGGATATTGACATCACATATTCTGTAGCTGGATGTTTGTGACTTTCCGTCCATCTTGGTTCGTAACATCTATCTTTTGCATATATGCAACCTAAATCCTTCGCACTCCCTAGCTCCGGTCCTAGTATTTTTACATTTGCTGGTTTACGTCACACGTGGGTCTGAAAGAACTAAGCTCCATGCATTCTTCGGTTTTTATACATATCATTCAGATCCGGGTTTTGTTCAAGGGGTTCGATATGGTATTCCGCATAGATGGGGAACACATAGCACCCGTACAACTTAGGCGATTAAGATGTAATGCTAAAACGTTTACGTTCATAGTGTATCTGCCAATTTTTATTCTCAAAATTCCAGTTATCTTTGGTGCTCTCTTTTTAAGACTGGCTTCTTTTTAACTTTCAGACTTCCTATGCTCCACCTGTTGCTTCACCACAGAGTTTATCCGTCGTGTCCGACCATTCTTCCGACCGGCAAGCTTCGCCGCTTAAACGGCTTCATATGCCACTTCACTCTACAGGGTCTGGAATCGGCCACCTTCCGGTAGATCGGCGCTACTGGATGTTGGATGAAAGTTGTCGCCAGTGTTTCGAATGTGGCTCCCGGTTCACAACACTTCGCCGCAAGCACCACTGCCGCTTGTGCGGCCGCATTTTTTGCTATCAATGCAGCAATAAGGTCAGTTATAGCTGACGTCTGGGTAGGTGCATTGCTCTCGAACTTTTGCCACATCGCTCAGCCATTGGTATTCTGTGTAACAGTCTTGGTCCCATTGTCTATGCGTGACTCGGTTTATATGGACTGATTCGTACAGTGCTTATACTGCTCTTCCAGTTTGAACAAATGCACTAGTAAACTTTGTAATGCGTTCACAGCCACTCATAACACTAGTCAATGGTTAGCGATCACACAGCTTTCATCGGAGATTCGATAGTTGTCAGTCAGCTGTTTTCTCCAAGCCCCAGTCATCGGGACCACTGTCAATAGATTGAACCTGACTGCATTTGCATCAATCATGGTTCTTCTATGACTACGACGAAACACTATTATTGCTCACTGGAACTCAATAACCATTAACGCACTATACAAATATATCAACAATTATATATATATATATATATATATATATATATATATATATATTCGCAGTAGAGCCTATGGTGCGCTGAGACTTATGGTGGCTACATCCCGCCAGATGGTCTACCCACTGCTGCTACTTTTGTGCTATGGGCTCATATCCTGGACGCCTTGTGGCGACCGCAGGGTGGGAGTTGGGTTGCGCCCTTCTCCTAAGATCCAAGGCACCAATGTGCATGAGTCAATGAACTGATCATGTGCTAGACCCGCTGCATTTCAAGTGCGCATTTAATCGAAGGCTTTGGTTGAGCATCCGAGTCGTTCTCCTCTCAGGTGTGGACGCCCTGCCATTATCCTAGTCCATCCTCTTCGGAGGTTATGAAGTGATCCATGGCCCTCTTCCCGTAAAACCTAGCCATGGGAGACAGCTGGTCTACGAGCGCAACGCATAGTCCCTGACAGGGGGAGGGCACCTCTGGGTATTCAATGGTTTTCTACTTACCTCCTCAAGCTAGACAGCCCCTGATCAGATTGGCATAGAACCGCCAAAACCCTCCTGCGTCTAGCCGCGGTCGCAGGTACGTGTTTTATTACGGTCGCAAAACACAAATGAACTGTTCCATAATTACAAAGGCTGCGTGCGACGGACCTCAAAGAGATCCCAATCTGTCTCTGCAATCACATTTTGTAGCCAGATCTGCTCCCCACTGCCTTGTGAGTCAGGCTATTGAGCCAAAGGCTCCGGTCGGAGTACCTCAAGCAAACCTCGGAAGCACAACCGCCACCTCACGTGCGATTGCCCACCAATGCAATCGTATGCCTGTGTGCAAAGCACTCAGCATCAGGTGCTGGAACGTGCGCACACTACTGGACCGGAACCCCAGTGAGCGCCCCGAGCGACGCACTGCACTGGTCGCGATGGAACTGGCGCGCTACAAATTTGGTATTGCGGCGTTCAGTGAAACCCGGCTCGTTGAGCAAGGCAAGTTGCATGGAGCAGGTGCTGGCTACACATTCTACTGGGTGCGCAACACCACCAAAGCAACACATGAACATGGGGTCGGATTTGCAATATCCGGTCGCCTAAATGGCCAGCTGGTGGGTGAACCAACAGGCATCAGCACGCGACTGATGACTGTTCGCCTACGACTCGGAAGAGGTAAGTTTGCCACTGGCATAATCACGTACGGTCCAACCATATGTTATCCTGATGACACGAGTGATCAATTCTACACTCAGCTATTCTCCATGATACGGTCTGTGCCGAGGAGCGACTGACTATTTTTGCTGGGTGATTTCAACGCGCGCGTTGGGCGTGATACATCGGTGTGGACAGATGTCATCGGTCCGCATGGCCTTGGTTCAGCAAATGCGAACTGTGACAGGCTGCTCTCACTGTGTGCGACTCACGGCCTGACGATCACGAACACTCGGTTTTCACTGAGTACGAGTGATGTAGCAACTTGGACGCACCCACGGAGTGGTCACGCTCACCTGCTCGACTATGTCATCGTACGTCAGCGTGATATGCGTGAAGTGCGCATGACACGTGTACTGCGTGGAGCTGAGTGTGGTCCTGATCACAAATTGGTTCGGACCAAACTGTACATATATTTTCGTAGATCTATGTATTGCACTTCCACCGTGAATCATGGTTAATTTAACACTCTCTCGGTACTGTGGCGAAACTTATTGAGCTGGAGAAGACGATGGCTGCACGACTGTGTAATATGGAATGTATAGCCACAGTGGGCTACCTGTGGAACCACATTCACGATCAGGTGGCAGCTGCTGACGAGGAGACCATCGGGCGCGCAAACTGCAAGCGTCCTGACTGGTTTGATGAGAACAATGCGACGATTGGCGCATTGGTGTCGGAGAAGAATGCAGCGTTTGCTACACATGTGGCAAACCCCAGTAATTTGGGGAAGAATAGTCAGTTTCGCAAGCCTCTACGGCGACTGACCCGAGAGTTCCGTCGCATTAAAAATGTATGGTGGACGGAGAAAGCGAAGCAGATGGAATGCTACGCCGAACTTCGCCAACACAAAGAATTCTTTGACTCCTTGAAGTCCGTGTATGGACCGAGGTTGGAGCCGCTGAGGACGCTAATCGATGATAGTTCGGGCGCTGCCTGTGCACAGACTACAGACATAATGCAAATCTGGCGAAAGTACTTTGATCGTCTCTTGCACAACCGTTCGGAGATTGACTGGTCTACATTGAACGGTCTGGGGCAACACGGTGTGCAAATGAGTCTGGCGGACACTGGATGAGACGCAGAGATTGCTTGCTCAGCTGCGAAAAGGCAAGTTTGACGGTCCTGACGGAATCAAGACTGAAGTATTGAAACACGGCGGACCCGCGTTGGTGACTGCGCTGCACCACTTGGTGCAACACGTGTGGATTGAGGTGGAAGAGGTGCCTGCTGAGCTGAAGGATGCCTTTGTGCTACCACTGTACAAGGGCAAAGGGAGCAAGCAATGTTGCACAATTTATCGTGGCATCAATTTGCTGAGTTGTGTGGGCAAGGTGATTACCCGAATCCTGCCCAACCGCCTCGTCAGTCAGCTTGTGAAACCGAACGTGGCGGAAGAGCAATGTGGATTCCGTTCGGGTCGCACCACTATAGGTATGGTGTTTTGCGGCTCGTCAGTTGCAGTAGTGCAGAGAACGACACCAGCCGTTTTACTCGCTTTTTGTTGATTTCACCAAGGCATTTGATACGGTGAACCGCGAGACATTGTGGCTGGTGTTGGGTAAGTTTGGTTGTGCGATTAAATTTATAAGTTTAATTGGATGTCTGCACAGAGGTATACGAGCGTGGATGCAGCTGTGGACAGACCTCGGATGACTTTGCAGTTGTCTATGGTGTGAAGCTAGGCTGTCTTAGCTCCTGCCTTGTTTCGTATATATCTTCATGCAATGATGTCTTGTGCTTTTGATGCCGCTTGTGCTTACGGTGTTCGTGTGGAGCACCGTATTGATGGTGGGTTGCTGAACATCCGTCGTTTCGGTGCGAGAACTCTAGTCAGTGAGACGACTATCCGTATATTGCTGTTCGCTGACGACTGTGCTTTTGTTGCGCATAACGCGGATGAGTTGCAGCACATGACTAATGCTCTGACTTCGACAACGGCCAAATTCGGGCTCACCATCAACACAAGCAAAACTGTCTGTCTCTTTCAGCCTTCACCGGAGGTGCAATCTGCAATGGTCTTGGGAATGAGCATTGGTGACGAATTGTTGAAAACCAGCTCCCGCTTCTGTTACTTTGGGAGTGTGGTGTTGAGTGGCCAGCGGCTGCACGGTGAGCTTTATATCTGTGTCTCGATGGCACCGGCGGCATTCAGGAAGCTAGAGTACCGGGTGTCGAGTAACCATCAGCTTACCATTGATACGAAGCTGATGGTGTCCCCATCCATGGTACTGTCCGTTCTTCTATACGTCAATGAAACGTGGACGATGTACCGGCGGGATGTGCGATATCTCGAACGGTTCCATCAGCAGTGGTTGCGACGGCTTCTGCGCATCGGATGGGGCGACAGAGTTGCGGACACGGAAGTGTTGCGTCGAAGTGGAATGTATGGAGTGGACTTCATACTTTTGTTGAGACACCTGAGGTCGTTCGGTCATGTGTGCCGTATGGATTCGACGCGGATACCGAAGCAGCTATTATATGGCCAACTGGGTGAAAGGAAGCAGCACGTGGAGAAACCGAAGCTTCGTTACCAGAACATGATCAAAATGGGCTTCTCACGTTCTAATCTTGATTGCACGTCATGGGAATCGAAGGCGGTTGATCGGCGTGCATGGCATGATCTGATCACTAAGGTCGCTGCCTAGGTGCAAGCGGAGGCCCTCGTGCATGCAGAGAAGAAGCGGCAGTTGCGGAAGCGACGGGCGCCGATGGGTTGTACTCCATCGACATCGAGCGCATGTTGCTGTAGCACATGCGGTCGCGAGTGCCTGATTCAGGCAAACCCAGTTCGCCACGAGCGCGTCCACTCTGCACCAGCGTCGAAGCGACGAGGGGTGTTGTTGAGAACGTAGGCAGAATCGGCCCAGCGTTGTTAAGTACGCCGCATTTGATTTACTAACCGCGTGCTGAGTTTCTTTATTTCAGATGGTTGGTTTTCTATCTTGTCTTAATGATTTCTTTTACCTCATTTTGACGTTTACAAGGACGGGTCCTGCTGAGAACACAAGCAGAACCGGCGCAGCGTTCGTAGGTACGCTGCATTCGATATGCCTACCGCGTACTTGTGTGCTGAATTTCTTTATTTCAGACGATTGTTTTGCTATATTTTGTAACTGTCAAGTCATTTAAATGTCTGTTTAATTAAGCTTCTCTTTACTTACAAACGTCGCTGAAGCGGATTGTGGTTATATTCCTTGACATTTCCGCGTTTATGGCATTTAAAAAATATTGTTTCTTATATCTTAAACTGATATCTTGAACTTATCGCGCATTGTTGATAACCAGTTTATTTCACTTGCTCATTCAGCGAAGAGTTAATTCTGTATTTCCGCCTGCTTTATTCGATCTATTATTTGATATTGTCATTTCAAGTGATGGGATGTTGCTTGACATCCTGCGGTGTGGCTGCGTTTGATGTACATGCTAAAATGGTTCCTACCTGTTTGGCACCCTCCACCTCGATTACTGGCTCCCTTGGACTGAATCGTTACTGGGTCGTCGGGGTACACGGTCCCTGTGGCCTTGTTAGGCTCGAACATTGCTTCCATCCAGTGTGAAGCGGACTACGGTCCAACCACCGCCTTGTGTGCGCTTGATTTCCTAAATACAGGGTGCTTGTGTTTGCCTGTGAAGGAGTGTGGGCCGGCTCCGTGGATGAAACTTGGCTCCAGACATGTAAGGCCTAGCGGCAATTGAACAGCTACACGGCATTTCGTTTAGTGATAGCGCACGCAGAAACACAACGCACCTAGCACATCTCAAATGGACGAGCGGTTCATACAATGCTACGGACGAAAATCCTTACAACCACCCGCCTACGATTACACAGTCACACAGGTCGCACTACTTGAGATTCACGAAAATGCTGCCTGGTTTGCGTGGAACTAGCTTCATTGTAGCCAGCCGTTACTGACCTTGAGTTTTGAACGGAGCTAGGAACCTCCTAATACCCGATCGATCTCCGTCGCACCGGCAGTGTTACCGTTGGGTCTGAGTTCAAGATCCATCTGCTCCCTAAGCCATATGCTCGTTTTATATGCTATTGACAGCTTTGGAATGAGGCACTCAGCTAACAGTACGCATACAGGGGCCTGCGCGCCAATAGGATATACTTTGATTGCAGTATGATTTTGAACGGGAATTGTTTTCTTTATTGAGGAGCTTGATTCCACTCTGGATGCATTTGATTAATAAAGGCATCGATCAATGTATGGATGACCTTTGCCACATGACTGCTGCGATGAAGTTATCATTTTCCCTTCTGTTTCCGATCTATTTGTGCTCATGGGATGCCAAAACTGTTGCAGTGGCCATCAAAATAGTCTGTTTCACGTGCACAATGTGTATTGAAGTGTCTCTGTTGCCTTAGCCTCCAACTCCAGTCAGCTCTTTTTATGATACACCACCCATATGTCTTCAAACATTAGTTGTGAATCTGTGAGTAGCTGCGTTGCTCATCCTTTGCTTTAGGTAGTGCAATTATATCAGTTAAGCGCTATTGCGTGATTGATCAGTTTGTCCCTTCTTACTGGCGATTTTACTTCAACTGCTCGGTTGGCGCATATTTAGAAGACGAACTAGGTCTTTGCTTCACTAGTTAGTTTGTTACCATCCTCTTTTCTTTGTCAGATGAGTACGTCAATTTCTGCTACTTTCTGGGATCTTACGTCTCACGAGTGCTGTCTACAGTTTAACCGCGGTGTTCGCTCTGGTGTTTTATGACAGTGGCGTACTGCTCTTTGATTTGCTGTCATCAGTTGTTATACGTTTGCCTACTGTCAAGGCAGGCACTCGCCTTATGCACTTTTCTCCTGCTCATCTTTGTACACATCTCCAACAGGCTGCGCCTGGTATATCTCCCATATTCCTCGAATTGTTTTTCCTTTTCCCTTGCTGATGCTACTAGTTCGTGGAAGGAGAGGAGATTGGCATGTCCGGTTTGCAGAGAGTTTGCAACTACTGTGCCTCCTCGTTGCCATCACGTCTTTCCTCAGGGAGTTTTGCAACGCAAAATAGTGATCGCTCTTATTCATCTCAATCCGGTCTGGAGGACAGTCCAATCTTGAATGCAGTTTTTGATACGCCGACCAGATCTCACGCTGTACGAACCCGACACACGCACAGTGAACTCGCCGTCAACCGTCGTGCCACTATCACTACGGTAAACGACGCTGAAGCCATCCTCTCAGCAGCTTTAGCCGGTCAATTTCGGTCAGAACTATCGAATTTGGGAGAAAGTGACGTTTCCCCCGATACAGGTCGCTCACATTCACCAATTGCTCCACCTTCAAAAATGACGCTCGTTTCTGCTGTTTCCGGCGGAGTTTTCAGTGGCATATCCCAGACAAAACCAACTTCAGTGGATCCTGCAACTTCGATAGCTCCACTTTTTCGTCGGGTTGGCAGCCGTACCACCGAAGATCCCAGTGACACGTATGTCCATTCACTGTTGACACGCATGCTTGGCGCCGCGATGGATGCAGACTGCCAGGATGTACTTGGATCAGGAGCAGTTGCCAAAGAATTGCCAATCATCACAATCTCACAAGAGCGACGCACTTTATTATGTGTTTCAGGAATTAGCCTGATTTACTGGCTCATCTCCAATGTGCCTGAAATCCAGCGTTGCAGGTGAATCACACTTTGTTTATCACCTCTCTTCTTATTTTGTATCTCGCTTTTTCACCTATACTATCCTCTCGTTTTGCGACACGTTGGCTATGGTGTGTTTCTCACTTTCAACTCAACTGTAATGATGATGCATACTTGTTCTGCTCTGCAAGGTGTATACACTTACAGCTACCTAAGTTCCATGCTACCTAACTATCCTAGTATTGCAGCTGTTTAGCGATTTTCACACCGTAGCTTAGCAGCTATGCAATCAACTGACCAATGTCGACTCACTGAGTATATTGTAAGACGCACCATGTTGATGTCCGTATCTTTTTATCCCTTCCCACATGCTTAGGCAAGCTTAGTCACTGTTTTTTCCGGTACTCATGTTGTTGGTTACTTAAGGTTTTGGCGCAGAATTAAATTACAACTTTAAACTAAATCAGATTGTTGGCACCAGTGATAGATGGACAAATATATGAATAGTGAAATAATTAACACCGATACTGTTGATAAGTGAGAAATATGATATACAATGAGATGCCGATGCGATGTATGGTAATTGCAGTCTCGCGGGTACGGAGTAGTGCTTTACAGTTGACGCAGGTGGTAGAGTGCGAGACTGCGACGTATTATTAACTGCATGCTATCCGTGCCATATGGTATGCCTAAGCTGCTTTTGTATTCACAAGCATAGGGGCAGAACCACACGAAATCAGTCGACGGGCTCTGTATGGTGTCGCCTGTATGGTCGCCTGTTCTTGACGCTAGCATATCTCCACTGATTCCTCAATGTATCGAGAACGCTATCTGTATCCCCGCTCTTCTCTTTGATTGTCACGTGTCAACGAGTCCGGAAATCATCGTGTTCCTGTTGTCGGTGAACCAAGACTGATTCCTTGTCTGCATCTCTATGGGTGTGTTTGTGTGTGGAAGCAAGAACAGTGCATAGGGGCACTTGGCCGAGCTACATCGAGATCGTTGCAACCTGAACTGGATCCCGGTGTCACACGAACTGACATTGAATAAAATTGATTTGTCAATTTGAAACGTAGCGAAATACGAACATATGTTAGGACTCCCTGTAATTGAGGCCGTTGCTTTTCGTGATTTGTCACTGACCTACCCCAGGAACTTGAAGTACCGTCGCTACTGTTTGCTGATGACCTTAAGCTCTGAAATATTGTGGATATCCCTGGAGGTACTGAGATAGTTCAGAGAGCCTTGGTTGTGCTCTGGATCCGCTCATAAATGATGCGAAATATTCTGTCATCCGCATTGAAGATGCTAGTCCTCGCACGCGCTATGTTGTTGGTAGAAGTGGAATCCCTGTTGTCACTCTGTATGTCAATCTAGGGGTCATCCACACCTCTGTCTTCCACTGTGTGGAGAATTGGAAGAAACTCTCTTGTAGTGAGTTTCCTATGATGTGGTTTATTCGCCACTTCTTCGGTGTCGTAACGGGCCATGTTTGTGATACTTTTCTCAGCTTTTTGCGACTCCATTTGGAACGCTATATCCAGGCTTGTCCAACATGTCTTGTACTGGACAAAATGGAACTGGATAGGGTTTTGCGAGTGGATACAAGGTTAGCGCAGGGTTTACGGATGCAAACGTATCCCGAAAGTTAGCTTAGCATTATCGGAGAATTACATGGCTTTTGATCCTAATGGGTGCCTTTGTCATCCGTCACAAACTGACTGGGACTTGTGAAAGCCATATTCGTGAAGAGCAAGCCGGGTTTCGTCGAGGTCGTGGCTGCGTTGACCACATCTTCACTTTGCGTCCGTTGTTGGAACACCGTCCCACATATTGGCGGCCCACCATTGTCGCGTTCCTCGATATCAAAGGTGCATTCGATTCGGTGGATAGACATGCACTTTGGGACTGTCCACTCAGGAAAGGTATGCCCGAGAAATATGTGAATATTATCCGAGCATTATGCGCGTAGCTCGGGCAGAGTGAGGGCTTACGGCAAGCTGTCGTCGCCCTTTAATATCTCCAGCGGTGTGAGACAAAGATGCCCGCTGCCCCCTTTCCTCTTCAACTTCGATATTGACGAAGTAATGGAAAATCCCGTTCACAGGACACGACTTCGATGGTGTTGATCTGCTCCCATGAGAACGGCCTCTTGACTTGGAGTATGCTGACGATATTGCCCTAATCTGTGACAGCTCCCAGACGTGCGAAGCGGCACTGGACAGATTAGCACTGGCTGTCAGCCGTTTCGGGCTTTGCTTTGCACCATCGAAGTGCAAAGCGTTCCTCCAAGATTGGCCTGGACTGCCTCCTTCGCTGACCCTTGGTGGCGGTCAGTTAGAAGTCGTTCAAAAATTCAACTGCCAGGGAAGTTGTATCAGTCCCCTTGGGATTAAAGATGAGATTACAAACCGTATAGCAAAAGCTCGAGGCGCTTTTGCTAACCTTCGCCACTTATGGCGCCGGCGCGACATCACTCTCGCCCTGAAGAGTAGAGTGTACAGTGCAGTAACAGTACGTTCGACCCTACTGTGCGGTTGTGAAACCTGGCCCCTTAGATCAACTGACCTAAAGATGCTAGTTACGTTCGACCACCGGTGCCTTCACAATTTAGCACACATTTGGTGGGAACACCGCGTGAGCAACGAGCGTGTTCGACGCCTTGTTTACGGCACAGGAAAAGGAACTGAACCGCTCAGCACCGTTATTTTACGCATCAGGCTCCGATGGCTCGGCCACGTGTTACGCATGCCAGTCCACCGACTCCCGCGACGTGCGTTTGCGCGCCGGGGGTGTGGATGGAAGAAGAGGAGGGGTGGTTAAGTGATGACTTGATCGAGAGGAATGAAGGCCCTCACTTCTGAGCTGGCCTCGGTTGGAGCGTCTCGGCTCCCTGGTTGGGGTCCGAAAGACGATGAACACGTTTGGTTGGACACACTTGCTGATATGGCAAGGAGCCGACCTCAGTGGCGTTCGTGCTGTGAGTGTTCAAATGTGCTATCAAGAATGCCTTTGACTCATGCTGTGCACCCAACTTGAGATGTCGTAACTGCGAATGGATCACTGAAGCATCGATCAGCTTGATCGAAGCACGGAAACAAGTTTTAAGGGGCAATGAGTTTCAGCGTATCCGTAACTCTCTGAAACGACGCATCACAAGGAGTCTCCGAATCGACCGGGAACATTGCTGGATCGTGAGAGCTCGTGAGATGGCGAAAGTCAGTGCTATTGGGAATAGCCGAGTTCTGTTCAAACTCATCCGGTACACGGGTCCGAGAAAGCCATCCCTTAGCGAGACACTAGCTGGGAGAAACGGGTAGCCGATCCATTCTTAGCGTCATCTACTAGCCCGTTGGGTGGAACGTTTTGAAGAGCAGTTCAGCAGGGTTGCTGCGACATTGCTGCTTGCCGAATCGCTTGAACCGTCCTGGGAAGCAGATGTGACACCTCCCACTTTGGAAGAGATTCGACATGGGCTTTCTGTGTTGAAACGAAACAATGCTCCTGGACCCGACGACCTTCCTCCATCTTTGCTGAAAGATGGTGGTGACCCTTTGTTGACTGGACTCGCTACTCTATTTAACGCGATTTGAAACACTGTAGAGGTGAATTCAGACTGGCGACTATCAACTGTCGTGCCCATCTTCAAGAAGAGTCAGCGTACTTTGTACGAAAATCATCGAGTTATCAGCCTTGTTTTCACTGCATCCCAATTCCTCACGAGTATTATTCTCCGACGACTTAGTGATCCCCGTGAGGACCGAATCACTGAAAGCCAGGTTTGCTTCCGCCCTGATCATGGTTATGACAACCACATATTTACTATTCGCCAAGTTTTAGAGCAGAGACACAAACATACGACCGACAATGGTGGCTTTCCTTGACTTGAAGGCTGCCTTCGACTCTGTTGACCGCGCTAGCCTCTGGCACTGACTATCCATGAATGGCGAGCCGTCTAAACTCCTTTTCATTCTGCAGTCTCTACCGTGACTCCCGAGGCCGTGTAAGAGTATACGGGTAACTGTCTCCTGAGTTCCCCACGATCATTGGGGTTTGCCAGACTTGTCCTTTCTCTCTTTTCCTCCTCAACTTTGTTGTCGAAATGATCATGAGTGACTACGTTTTTTCAGACTCTACTGGAATAGTAGTTCTACAAAATGACTGACTCACAAAGCTGAAGTATGCGGACGACATAGCTGCTGGATAGACTGATGCGTCGCGCCGCACGCTTTGCCATGTGCTTTGCACCTTCAAACTGCAAAGTACTGCTTCAGGACTGGACCAACACACCTCGAGTTCAATCTATCACCGAACAATCACTGGAAAGGGTGCATTGGTTCACTTACCATGGTAGCTGTGTCACCTCTGATGGTCACATCACTGAGAAGGTTAATTCGCGTATCAGCAAGGCCTGTGTGGCTTTCCAGAGATTCAACCATCTATGGAGACGGCGGAATATCAGCCTGTCAGTGAAACGTAGGGTGTATAACGCTTGGGTAATGCCTGTCGTACTGTATGGATCAAAGACCTTTCCAGTTCGCGACGAAGACATTAAAAGCTTAGCCGTGTTTGACCACCGATGCTTGCGGAACACTACTCATGTCTGGTGGGAACACCGGGTGAGCAATGGTTAGGTCCTCCACCTGGTTTTTAGCGAGAAGCCTTCTGCTGCCTCACTGGAGTGTTTGTCATGTCCTACGTATGCCTGTTAACCGGCTTCCTCGACGTGCATTATACGCCGTGGATGCACAATTCGGGTGAAACGACAAGGTGGCCATCCCATGAGGTGGCATAGTAGCATGAATAAATTGACTGGGAGACTTGGTCTGGCTGTTGCATGCCCTTTCCCTGGTTGCCGGCCTCCAGATGGTCCACATCAAAGGTTGGAGATGGTGTCAGATATGACTCAGTCACGTAGTCAGTGGCGTTCGTGCATTCGGTTTCTTCCATCTGAGGGTTAATATTCGTTTCATTCTGATGAATCTAAGGCACTCCCTATTTGTTTCCATTTACTTTACATTCCGCTTTACTTTAGCCGG